TACTTTTAATATTCATACCTGTATATTTACAGGTATTTTAACATCAAAGGCAATGTGTAGTTGCATCCATTGTTCAATTTCTTCTACTACTAAAACTTCTGCCACCAGGGTTACAACAAGAGCATATCTGCTGCTGAAGTGATAATCCGCTTTGCTTTCCAAGCCTCCATCACAGTCCTGTGCATTGCGTGTCCCTGTTCTCTGGGATTGGCCACCCCCACGGCTGTCATGGTTGGTACTGGAGTAGGAGCCCAGAATGGAATACTGATCAAAGGAGGAGAGCCCTTGGAGATGGCACATAAGGTAAGAAATGTGGGTTACTGTTACAAGAACTCCAAAGGCTGGTGTTGGTGGCATGTTCCCAGTTGCTGCCTGAGCAGATCGTTACGTGCACACCAGCACGTGGCAGTAAGTGATGGATCACCAGCACGTGGCAGTAAGTTTGTTGGAATTAGGTGGTTTTCTGGGGAAATTACACATTAAAGCTTTGTTCATTGAATGGAGTCGTCCTGTTTTGCTGCAGGTGAAGGTGGTTGTATTTGACAAAACAGGTACCATTACTCACGGGACTCCAGAAGTGACACAGGTGAAGTTTCTAGTGGAGGGCAACCAACTACCACATAATAAAATGCTGGCGATAGTGGGGACTGCAGAGAGCAACAGTGAGCATCCTCTTGGAGTAGCAATAACAAAATACTGCAAGAAGGTAAGTTACTTATACAGGAATAGAGTAGTTTGTGTTATGGAAGAACTTCTCTTGCAGTACTTAATGAGTATGAATAGTCTTGTGTTATTTACAAAGTAATTTATATTCATTAGGGAAAGCTGAAAATTGTAGAGCCATATAAATCACTTAATAGCATATTAGATGCACTGGATACTCTAACTTACATTTTGATGATTGAATATTTCTCTGCTCCTGTTAGAGTTAGTTTGACAGCACTTTATTTGTGGGGGTTGTAAATGCTTTTATATTTTTTAAATATTTCTCAATTTACATCCTTTTTCTTCAGGAACTGGACTCGGAAACCCTTGGGACATGTACAGACTTTCAGGTGGTTCCAGGCTGCGGCATTAGTTGCAAAGTCACCAATGTTGAAGGATTAGTCTACAGGAAAAATCAAATGGTTGAAGAAAACAACATTAAAAACGTGACACTGGTGAAAATTGAGGAAAATATGGAGGAATCGGTGCAGCCTGCTTTGATTATTGACGCTGAGCTACCAGGTAAGCTAACGTTTAAGGCACACATGCAATAGTTGGTCAGTAGTGTTTTTCATGGTCACACATTACTTGAGACAATTTGATTAAATACATTTTGAAGTTACATGTTGAACATGGGGATGGGAAATCATATTGGCAGTTGTCTTTCAGCTCTTTCTGTTTTAACTTGGCTTCATCCTAAGTTGACATTTGCCATCCAAAAGGATGTATGTTTGCACAACTGACTGGTTTTCAATCCAGAACAGCTCTTTGTTAGCTCTTCCCTGTATATTGGGCTGTTAAATATAAATTAGAAGCACTGAGAAAGGGACTTGGTCCACTTTATAGTCCTTTGACCTGTGATTCTTGGTCCACTGACATGGTAACTTCCCATTACTGAAGAAATAGTGTTTTTCTTGCCAAGAACACATGAAAAAGTTGGTGGGGCAGAAAGTATTGAGAAAAACATACTTTGTGTTTAGATTATCTGTAATGATATTTCAGTGCATACTGGGAGAACCTGGACAGGGTTAACTGGAGGGAAGCTTCCTGGTTATCTATATGGTGATAGGATTGTATTTTCTTCCTTCAGCTACTAGGACTTCCCAGAAATACTCCGTTCTCATTGGGAACCGGGAATGGATGAGCAGAAACGGCCTTGTTGTTAAAAATGAAGTGGATAAAGCCATGATGGAACATGAGCGGAGAGGTCGCACAGCAGTTCTAGCAGCTGTTGATGGTGAGTTTAGTGCTGTCTTTTTTTATTCAGAGGTTGATTTGTCACCATTTAAATAGAAAGTAGTAACAGGAGTTACACCTGAAGCAGAATAATAGGATGAAAAGAAATCATTACCTAGCTTTATAAAACTCTCATATGAGAGACTTCTTCCTGCCTTTCTTAGTTGACAGGAGACTTGGACATAATCACAGAACCACAGAATGGTTTGTGTTGGAAGGGACTTTAAAGCTCATCCAGCTCCAACCTCC